ACTACATTTAATGTTGTTACTGTATCGATGGAGGAATCTTGATCCAAACTACATCTAATGTTGTTACTGTATCAATGGAGGAATCCTTATCCGAACTACATTTAATGTTGTTACTGTATCGATGGAGGAATACTTTATCCAAACTACATCTAATGTTGTTATTGTAACAATGGAGGAATCCTTATCCGAACTACATTTAATGTTGTTACTGTATCGATGGAGGAATCTTGATCCAAACTACATCTAATGTTGTTACTGTAACAATGGAGGAATTTGTATCCAAACTACATTTAATATTGTTATTGTAACAATGAAGGAATCTTTATCCAAACTACATTTAATATTGTGATTGTAACAATGAAGGAATCTTTATCCAAACTACATTTAATCTACATAACTCAGTAAATGATTCATGTAGTTACTCATGTTTTACCAACACCTACATAACTCAGTAAATGATTCATGTAGTTACTCATGTTTTACTAACATCTACATAACTCAGTAAATGATTCATGTAATTACTCATGTTTTTCAAACACCTACATAACTCAGTAAACGATTCATGTAGTTAATGATGTTTTACAATATGATACACACAAAAACCTTCATAGTTTTATTCGAGCAGAGAGAAATTCATGTAATTTCAAAATGTATGTCAATTATACAAAAACAATACAACCCTGGCACATCAGGAATATGATGCCATTTGACTGTATATCTAAGTTCTCATGCCAACTTTGCACTGTTCAGCTTCAAATCTTAGTATGAGGCACTTATGAATAGGATTACATTATTAACTGGATTTGTGAAGTAACATGTATATTATGTAATAAAGATTCCTTCATTGTTACATGAAGTTTAGATAAAGATTCCTTCATCGTTACAATAACAAGATTAGATGTAGTTTGGATAAAGATTCCTTCATTGTTACAATAACAATATTAAAAATTGATTCATGTAGTTACTCATGTTTTACTAACAACTGAGTTATGTAGGTGTTGGTAAAACATGAGTAACTACATGAATCATTTACTGAGTTATGTAGGTGTTGGTAAAACATGAGTAACTACATAAATCATTTACTGAGTTATGTAGGTGTTGGTAAAACATGAGTAACTACATAAATCATTTACTGAGTTATGTAGATGCTAGTAAAACATCAGTAACTACATGAATCATTTACTGAGTTTTGTAGGTGTTAGTAAAACATGAGTAACTATATCCATTGCTTACTGAGTTTTGTAGGTGTTAGTAAAA